TCACGAAAGCTTTAAATCGAAATTATTTTATTATGTTTTAAATTTAATTATTTTATTAATTTCCATTCTACGTGACTTTACCGAAAGAACCAAGAAGATGAATCCCTGCACTCACGAAAGCTTTAAATCGAAAGTTTCCAGTTCAGTTCAGGCGTCTTGACGGTGCCGAACAGCAGCAGAGGACCAATTTTTTTGTCATTGAACACGGCATACATGTGTATACGCGCATGCAAGCCGTTACTTTTGTACTGTCTGCATATACGGTAATGTTTTGCTGCCTTAAAAGTTACAATTGCCCACATCGCATTTGGGGACAACTTCCAATGTCAGAGCGCTGAGGCAGTGCCAGATAGATCCCACATTGACATCTGAGCAGCCGTCCGTGGCCAGTGTGTTGTGGTAATGCTATTAGCTTGGTCACCAAAGAGTACACAACAAAGGACTATGTACATGTGTAGTGACATAGAATGGGTCACTCCGGCACGTAGCGCCGGTTACTGACAGAGAGAGGAAATGTGCACGTAACGGCCGACCTGTCAGCAGAGCAGGGAGTCGCAGTCGTTCTACCAGCAGAGCATGCAACGCCACGGAGTGGGTCACTAGGGTGCGTAGCGCTGGCTGCTTGCAGAAAGGGGCATATGAGGACAACTTCACCGCATCAAAGGGACGATGGACGGGGTCATGTACCGTCAAATCTTGGGTGAGAACCTCCTTCCCTCAGCCAGGGCATTGAAAATGGGTCGTGGATGGGTATTCCAGCATGCCAATGACCCAAAACACACGGCCAAGGCAACAAAGGAGTGGCTCAAGAAGAAGCACATTAAGGTCCTGGAGTGGCCTAGCCAGTCTCCAGACCTTAATCCCATAGAAAATCTGTGGAGGGAGCTGAAGGTTCGAGTTGCCAAACGTCAGCCTCAAAACCTTAATGACTTGGAGAAGATCTGCAAAGAGGAGTGGGACAAAATTTCTCCTGAGATGTGTGCAAACCTGGTGGCCAACTACAAGAAACGTTTGACCTCTGTGATTTCCAACAAGGATTTTGCCACCAACTACTAAGTCATGTTTTGCAGAGGGGTCAAATACTTATTTCCCTCATTAAAATGCAAATCAATTTATAACATTTTTGACATGCGTTTTTCTGCATTTTGTTGTTGTTATTCTGTCTCCCACTGTTCAAATAAACCTACCATTAAAATTATAGACTGATAATTTCTTTGTCAGTGGGCAAACGTACAAAATCAGCAGGAGATCAAATACTTTTTACCCTTATTGTAAAAGGGAAGTCTCGAGGCTGGATAAGGGCTGCCTTGTCGGTGGAATGGAACCCAACGTGCTTCGTCTTCTGAGTCGTGAGTCAGGCAGCTTTCCAGCTGCTCTGACCCGTGTATAGTTGTCCCGTGTGTGAACAAGTGTTAAAAGTGTAGAATAAACGTGTGTTGCCTCCTACTATTAGTGTCTCAGAAGTGACTCGCGACACGTGTTTGTTACGATTTTATGCTCCCCTCAATTTTCTGGCATCTACAACCAAAATCAAAGAGAGCTTCGGGATTAACTGTCCGAATAGTTTTTTTTGTCCGTTAATGCAGACGAGACACCAATTCACGAGAGCACGATAACGTATGCTGAAATGATATGCAATAATGGCCAAGCGAAGCGACAGCTGTTACAGAAAGATTTAGCAGTAAATGGAGGAATGCGAACAGAAAATAATACATTGGATATGAACACCGAGCAGTGATCAACGAATGGGTAGCGCCAAAGTGGATGCTCTCATGAAAGCGTGAGGCATAATTTTGTGAATTTTACATGAAAAGATAATGATTGTAAACTCAATCTGGCCGTCATATCATTGGAGCAGGAAAATGTGCGCAAATTTAAGACTTGATAAGTCATTTACTATCAAAAATAATTTTAGCACAACTCTGGAAGAGTTTTACCTGGGTGTGATTTTCAAATGGCATGACCTATCAAATAACCATAATGATGCCGTGAATTATGGCCAAGTTTACGTGTGTTGATGTGACAGCTGATGTAATGTCAATATTTTTTCCCACCATGGCTGGCAGAAGAATGAAAAATGAATTGCATCTCAAAAGTTTTTTTTCATGAATTAAGTACGTGTTTCTCTTTGGTATGGTATCTGTCAGTCACTAAAAAAAACCAAGAAAACAGACATACTTTGATTTCAAGTATTTTACTTGCCATATGCTGCATGACAAATTTTAAAGCATACACTTTCCATTAATTTGAATCGATATTTACAGAACCCTGAATTCAACAATTACAGGATCCTTCCCGAGGGCTTTCCGAATACATTTGTAAATGCATTGTAATTGTAAAAAAAATCATTATATTTTTTGTTAATGTGGCAAATTAAAAAATATCTTTGCTCAAAGGACACTACAGAAATGTTGATCTGCAATGGCAGCCTGTGCCAGCAGTGGAAATTCCACATTCCCAGGGTGGGAACAGGTCTTTCCATACGACGGCAATCTCACCTTTACACAAGTGGTACTGAATTTATTGATCCAGGAGAGATTGTAAGCTGAATCGACGCCCCAAACAAGATTTGAACTCAATGCCTTCTGAGTCACACACTCAAACCACACAACACCACTCGGCATACAGATGGCAACGTATTTCATACGAACATAATATGTACACATACTAATAATGCAACATTATTATTTTCACAGCGAGGCACATTCTACGTTGATGCTGCAGTGTTAGCAACACATTCATGGCACATTAATGATAAATTAACTTTGTAAATGGTGAAACGCAGGCATAAGTGCTGCTTTGAGTCGGGTATGATTTTCATACGCATGATGAAAGTGCAGATGATTTGTTTTTTTTCTCTCACAAAACGGAGCCCAGAGGAAGGCACCATCCCAGGTGTCATTACTCCGAGCCTAATTAGGCTGTTGCAAGCAATTACAAGGCCATGCTCGATTATGGCACAAATGAGTAGCTACAGAAACTACAGCCGTGAATAGACCAACGGCACTGTTAATATTGTTTTGTTCACGAATGCTCGATTGCTCATACTTAAATAGTATATGCTTTTCAATCTTAAATTGATGTGGGTTTTGAAAGTTGTATTACAATGCGTCTGTAAACCAAACACGTTTTGTTTCGCAATTTCTGAAAGTAAACACATATCATTGTTACTGTAAACTTTTCCTGGAAATGCTAAATTAGTTTCTGTCATCAGTGGGCAGCAACATACGTACACGTGTATATTCACTCAGGAAAGAGTGACGGTGAGGTGGTCATGCACTTGCACTATGAACTCAGGAACCTGTTTTTTATTCTCAGCCATGTAGTATATCTGAACGAATAATGACGCATGGCACTTACTGACCAGTGTGGTGAAGTATGGTAAAAAAAACATAACTAACATTGCCATATGGAGGGCTTCGTGCAGAAATGTATTCGCAAAAGGCTGTACGTCAATAATATTATTGTTGTTCATTGTACCGTTAAATATTCGGGCAGGATTAATATTTTCGAACTCGGATTGCGTTAATACATTTAGTCAGTGTGCCATATTAGACAAAACAAACATTTTTATGTTATTTTAATAAATAAGCATTGGACAGAAATACGATATCAAGAAGAGCTAATGATTTTCAAAAATACAGAAAAACAAAACTGAACAGCTAATTGTTTAAAATGTTATAGCTGAATAATGGCTAATATATTTAAAAACCTCGATTACTGAAGATATAATGTTTGGGATGATCCATGAGTGATAGCAATACTAGCAATTGTTAAAAGAAAATATCGCCATGTTATGCACCACGTGACAATAATGTATTTAACAAAATAACTAATCTTGGCTCCCATGGTCAAAAATGTAAGCTTTTCCAAGCTAACAGTGATAACTTTTAGACGTAATTCATTTAGTGACACGTATTTCAAAATACAACAATATTTTTTTTCATGCACACATGAAACTGTAAGTTTGCCGATGCTTCCATGTGATTAAATTACACAAATGCGGTACGAGCCATGATTTGTGTGTACGAAAATAATTGCCCTGACCATTTCCAGTTTCATTTGAGCCCATCTTGACAGTGCCTAAATCATCACACACTTCTCAATGCTAAACCTTCAAAATACAGTTTCAAATGTTAATGGTTTAAAACGTATTTTGTTATACGTCGAGTTTTATATCAATTTTCAGTTGTATATACATGTAGATAAAATGCTGCAATGCAATTTTTTTTATCAATTAACCTTCATTTAAGACAAAGTCAATCAACAGTCGACACGTAAATATACCCATATACCTGAAACAAATAAATATGCTTTGACTTACAAAGAGAGGCAATATGATGTCTCCACATACTTCTTTGTATTCTCCTGAGTGGTTTTTATTTTCTTTGTCAGTGTCCACGCTTCCAAACCATATGTTGCAGCAAACAATATGCCCTCAATTAAAACCAGCTATTGGCAGATATTTGGAATCCATCCTTGAGTCTGAGTCAGTTTTGCTAAATATTTTAAACAGTTGTTCATTGGTGATGGACTGGACTCATGAGAGTGTGCAATAACAAATGTTCGGACTTAGTTACAAATGCAATGAAATAGCCACAGTGTAAAATGCCTCTTGCAAGCGCATGTAAATATCAAGTCAGCTTACGCATGTGTGTTGTGGTTTACATCATTAGACCTCCTTTGCCAGTACCAAAATATAATAATAGGGTTTTTCCCCTTTTTTCTGGCAACAGCTTTACGCCTTTTGGCGTCCTCTGGCCTAGCACCAATTGAGACAAGGCTCAAAAGAAAAATGTCTCTGGTGTGGACCAATCAGTTTCAAAGACATTGCATATATTATCAGAGTATGTTTTTTTTGTTGCATTTTGACCACAAGTATTGTGGTTAATGCAGAAATGATTCCTTGCAAAAAGGTTTCAGTTTTGTTGCCAGAAAAAAGGGGAAACCCCCCTATTATTATGTGTTGTTGTTGTTTTTAAAAGAAGCAGCATCCTCACCTTGAGGACATATGCACACGAAGCTTCCTGGGACCTCAATGCAGGTGCCACCATTCGTGCACGGCAGAGACGCACACCGATCTCTCGCAGCAGAACAAGTCGGCCCTATTGGGGAAAAGAAAATAAAAGAGCCGTCGAATTGTTACACATTTCTGTCGTCGATTGACACTCACGTCCTGCCAAACACGTGAAGATATTTTGTTGGAGAGACACGAATGGAAACACACATCAGAGGACGTGCACCGAGGGCAGTTATTGAATGTGGACGGGAATCAAAATGATTAAATGAAAGAAGAGAATGAAGAGCAGAGGTTGGAAGTGCTTTTGGAGAATGTAACCTGATATTGCAAAAAAATAACATTCCCATTTCCCCCCCGCCCCAAAATTATAAAGTATGAAATCAATGCATATCAGCTGTGTGACATGCGGGAGCTGAAAATGAAAGCGTAGAGAGATGTGGAGTTGGAGTTACAATTCGAGACAAAGAGAGAAACACAAGCACAAATGAAAAAGAAAATTGAAATAGCACCCATATTGACTGTTAAGAAAACTAAATGGGTTTGGGCAGGACGCAGTGTTAGGATGTATGAACAGCATTCATGTTGAACCGCTTTTGCACCATACGTAGCCAAACCAGAAAACAAACTAAGATGGTTTATGGTCGAGACTTTTTTTTTGGAGTGGCAGCCAAATGAGGGTGGCAGATATGCAGGAGCGAGACGAACTGTGGCGTCACGGAGCCATGAGCGATGCAGAGGGTTTTAGGAGCCCTTCCCCCAGCAGTGGTAGTATCATGGCTGATGACGATAATGAGGAATCTTCTTGATTCTTTCGGTAAAGTCATCACGTAGAAGGGAAGTAATAAAATAATAAAAATAAAACATAATAAAACAATTCTCACGACGTTTCGGCCACAACGCAAGCAGCCGTCCTCAGGTGAAGAATGAAACACCACCAAGCTTGGAGCGTATATTTAAACTGGGTTGGAGAGGGGGAGGTGGGAATAAGAGCGCCTTGACAAAATAATTTGCATATCAAGAGGAATTTAGCATATGGAAAATGCGTAGCAGGTGGGCGGGGGGGTTTCAAATTAAGATTATGCCCGTGCATTATGCAGGATTATCAGCATCCAAAGATAATGAGGATTTCTCGTGTATGTGGGCATACCCCTGTGTCAACCATGTCCACAGAACTTATACTGTGTATATTTCGAGGAAAGTTGATTTATTCAAATTAATCACAAATTGAATAACGAATAATATCAAAGGACTGTGTTGGCAGCGGTGCACAAAGGCAAATTAAGGAAACCCACCACGTACGTGGCGAAGGTAGAGTTGATGAATACGGTGATTATGTTTTAATTAGTGCTTTGTTCGGAAGATCCTGCTGAGGGTACTTTTCAACTTCCTTATCTATCAAGTATTGTTGCAAGTGGTGAAAATGAGTGTCACTAGAAAACCCATGCATGCAAAAATATATACGTGTATGTTGAATTTCTTTCGCACAGTACGTAGCCGACCGTGATAATCGGAGGTGGCTAAAAGATAAGTGAGCACAGGTCAACAATCTACTTGCTGTACTGCCATCCACCAGCACTGCACGCTTGCTGCACCTCGATACACGATGATCCGCTCAACTCCAAAACGCCGCGTTAAGGGGTGGGGGGGGGGCATTATGTGAGCCAGTGGTGAAAATTACCACGGGGGGGGGGGGGGGGAATTAAATATTAAACAAAACTCTTACCACAGCAGAATGCATGGTTGTACATTGGTAGATGAGCTTTCTTACGCGCGTGTCAGCAGAGCATGGCAGTGGCACAGGTGGATGCAGTTCTAAGCATAAAGGGTTGCCAGATCTAATTGAATTTCCATGTCGGCCCGTGTTTCTCCATTTGTATGTAAATCACAGCGAAAAGCACATTAAAAAAAAAACATCTGCTCGTTGATAGACATGAAGACAGCTGCAACGGAAGTCCCTAAGGCCCGGTGTCAACATTTATGCTATAAAATCTGTAAGCTAACATACTCTGCAGCCAATGAGAATGCCCCATCAGCTGGCAAACAAATGCGTGCAGTTTGACACATTATTTAAAAAGCGTGCTCTCTGATATATGGTAGCACTTTCGAAAATGTAATATTTGTTGTCAAATGAGTTTCGTGACAGATGTGTTTCAGTTTTACGAAACTTTGAGAGGCATATGCTGGAAAATAAGCATGCAAGACAAGCAGTGGTGTGTGTTTTGATACTGATGAATAAATTAAGCCAAAACTGTAACAAATAGACATCAAATTGCCTTCATGAAATAATTTAAAGCATACACAATCAAATACAGAATTACTAAATCACATATTTCCAAGAACACAAGCTTTTAACAGATTACTCTGGATTGTAATAACTAAGTAACAAGCTTACAATCTCAAGTGCGATTAACAAAAATGCGGTTCATGATTACACGTAGGGTACGAAGCAGCTCTAAAAACCTTATAATGTTTATTTAATTAACCTCCGACCCTGGCTTAACTCTCCGATTGCTCCAGAATGATACACAACAGCACGCAGCAGCGTTAACAAGACCACACAGTACATCATTGGGAATCTGCGGCGAGAGGCGAAAGGTATTTTTAATAAGCTCGCTGTTTCAACCAGCCCTTAAGCAAGAGCGAACAGTTTAAAGGTCACCATTTTCACAACGCCTTTATTTATTTGCGCATGTTTTTGTTATTTGTACATTTTTACATAATGAAGTCACAAGAAAGCCCCCCCGCTGAGTTCTAAATGAGCAAGTTACGTTTTGTGCCATGTGGCACATCACACAAGTCTTGCTACCTGCTATTAAAGTTTGTTTCGTTCCCTTAACCAGTACAGGCAAACGCGGGGTGCAATGCAACGCAACAGCGGTGTGCAATATCCCCACAATATCGCTGTCGTGGGGATGCAGCTTTTGCAGACATTTGTGTCTGTGCTTGCGTGACTCCCTCCAATATTATTGTTGTTGTACAAAACAAAAAAATACATTGCATATGGATATGCTTCGAACATTTTAACCGAACGCTTAATGTGTGCAACCTGAAAAAAAACGTAATTTAGAGGCGTAGGATACAATCTACGTGTGTCTTCTTGGTTTTTTCGGTAAAGTCCCGTAGAAGGGAAGTAATACAATAATAAAAATAAAACATAATAAAATAATTCTCACGACGTTTCGGCTACAACGCAAGCAGCCGTCTTCAGGTGAAGAATGAGACACTGCAAAGCTAGGAACTTATATATAAGCTGAGTTGGGGGTGTAAGAAGAGCGCCTTAACAAAAGAATGTGCATATTAAGCCGCTCTTCTTACACCCCCAACTCAGCTTATATATATAAGCTCCTAGCTTGGCAGTGTCTCATTCTTCACCTGAAGACGGCTGCTTGCGTTGTAGCCGAAACGTCGTGAGAATTATTTTATTATGTTTTTATTTTTTATTTTATTACTTCCCTTCTACGTGACTTTACCGAAAAAACCAAGAAGATGAATCCCTGCAGTCACGAAAGCTTTAAATCGAAATCTACATGTGATTTACATGCAGAGACCAGGATGTAAACTCATAATTGCTCGCATGAATCCTGCCACGGAGTCGACTGCGCCTCGTGTTCCTCACTGCAAGGCTCGCTGGCCACTGGCGGCCTCTGGTGGTCTTTCGTGTGGCCCCTGACGTGCGGCACTCGACAATACACAACAAACGTGAAAAACACCCCATCGTGCTGTCAAACCCGCAATGGTTACAAATGTGTGGCAGCGCTGATGTCTTATCGGCAAAAGTGTCCCCCCTCTGAAAATGAGTAAAGAACGCTGACTTAAATTTCGATTTAAAGCTTTCGTGACTGCAGGGATTCATATTATTGGTTATTTCGGTAAAGTCACGTAGAAGGGAAATAATAAAATAAAAATAATAAAATATAATAAAATAAAATTCTCACGACGTTTCGGCCACAACGCAAGCAGCCGTCCTCAGGTGACTTAACCTGTCCATGAGTACCACTTTGTGGAAAGTCAATAGTCGATATTCTATTGAGGTACTGGCCCCTTCCATGGAAATGTGGAGTTTCCACTACTGGCTCAGCACCTCGAGCAGAGAATGAGCACCACCTGTTTTTTTGGGATGAACGAAGGTTGGGGGGGGGGGGGGAGCGGGGAGCGATGCACTTTGACTTTGTGGCTTTGAGTTAACATGTCTTCTCTCACATTCACCCAATCAAAATATCAGCAATGCAGGCTCAGATCTCTCCAGAGAAGCAGCCATCGGCGGCGCCCTAAGGCACCCAGCTGCCTCGGCGGGCAATTATTTTAAATGCAGCGGAGGTCACAGTACGAATCTGGCCGCATCGTGTACACACGGGTGCACGCACAGGGGGTGCGTGCACGCGAACGCTGGGGAGCGCGCGAGGCTTCTCATGTCAAAAGAGCAGCAAAATGAAACGTTCAGCCGAGTCTTGCATCTCGGGCCGACTTTGAAAGTCTCGCGCTTTCCAAAAGGATTTTTTTTCTACGCGAATCAAAGCGGCGGCGGCGGCGGCGGCCACGGCATGCGGGCTCACAGAGGTGTAGGGGTGTTAAAGAGAGGGCCCGTTATGCATGGCAGCCTATGGAAAACAAACACAGTGGGCGGGGCTACGTAAGTGCACGAAGAGGTGCCCTCTACGACGTCCGAGCCAGACACCCTGGGGGGGGCTGGTTCGAACGTTATGATCCCCCGGGGCCCCACCCCTCAGGGAGGGGTTGGGTATAAAAGGGGATGTTCAAAGGGCTCGAGTCAGTTATGTTTAAGCTAAGGGAAGAAGACTGAAGACGTCTTAGATAGAGCCCTGGACTCCCCTAGTTCGATGTCCTTTTCAGGGCCGGACAGGACTGAGCCAGCGGCGTGGTCCCGAAAGCCAGAGCCGGTGCTCTTGTAAGAGCTGGTCTGGAACTCCGGGTACCGGGCCCGACTTACCAGTGTCGGGCCAGTTAGCCTCCCCTAGCCCATTAGTGGAGGATTCGGGGCTAGGACAGAGTTAGCTAGGGGTGTATCCCGAGTTATACGGGTGAGGGGGCCGATACCCCCTCGAGTGTGTATATGCCCACTGTCGTATTGTGAAATAAATATACGTGTGCCTCAACCTCGGCGTCAAGCGTCCTCACCGGTACTTCAGAGGGATGCGAGCAGCCCTACGAGAAACCCACCAGGAGACGAAAGCGGCGGTGTGCCATGAAACCGAGCGACGGGTGTCACCGTTATGGACTGACAAAGACCTGCCCCCCCCCCTCTGCGCCCCCGCCACCATGCCACGACTGGGAATGCGGCCTTGTGCACACGTTGATCTGATCAAATGCAATCTAAACACCGACCCCCTCATTTGGGAATCTGTGGCAGAGGGGTTTTTCCTTCAATAAAATCATACAAAAAGCGTAGATTCCCATCAATAGTGCAATCTAAGGTTGGCAAGGTTTCGACAAGTCATTTTTTTATATTGCCATCTGTAAACAATTTCTACAGATTCTACTTTCGCACCTCCGATTAGCACAGTTGGCTACATACTGGGCGAAGTTCAACATACATACCGACTTAAAGGTCTTTTTTTTTTCATTTTGAACATTGAAATGATTTGCATTCTCACCATAAATATCTTCGGAATTCCTGCAGTTGCCACGCTTGGCTGAGCATATAGTAGCTTAGCGATACATCGATTAATTGATATTGGCAATAACAAAAACATAGAGACAGTACTATTAGTGGCAATATAGTCTACAACAAAAACTATAGCTCGGTGAATGCGTTGAATGACAATGATAATATGCCCGCATTTACAAATATTCACGGTGAATCTCTGATAACTTACCCATGTATCCTGCGTGGCATTCGCATACAAACGTGCTTGGAGTAACGTCCACACAGCTCCCGTGCTCACACCGTTGCTCACTGCATGCCCCGACTGCTTCCGAACAATTCCAGCCTGATAACAATTGCAACAACAACAACAACAACAAGTCATTTGAACAGGGTAATTAAATATAGAAACACAAAATAAAATGTGTGAAGAAATCACAGTACAAAGGTGCTGTGGGGAGGGGGAAGTTGTAGCACACTGAGCTCTGGGTTTGATGCCTAGGCCATGGATAAGAGCAGTGGAGACTGTTATCTGTAATCATAATTATGATGATATGAATATCAACGAGCCAAGCGAGAGATTGACTCAGGAGGCTCGAGAAAGAACCAGACAAGCAGGAAGGCAGCAGTCGCACGGTGAGCCCATGCCAACAATTTCCCGAGCTCTGCGGTCCTCTATATATGAAGGTGTTATCGACTAATTAATTGGTGTTTATATCCGAACTGGTCCCGCCCTGCCCTACCTCCACAAGCTCACTAACCTACGAAACAGCATAGCGAAGTTTAATTTTCGATTTACAGCTTTCGTGACTGCAGGGATTCATATTCTCTGTTCTTCACCTGAGGACGGCTGCTTGCGTTGTGGCCGAAACGTCGTGAGAATTTTATTATGTTTTATTTTTACTATTTTATTATTTGCCTTCTATGTGACTTTACCGAAAAAAAAGAACCTCCATGATCAACACAGCAGTGATATGACTGAGGGTTGTAAATTTTAATTTTTGGTATGTTTTACACATGCAGCATTATATTTTCAAAACGTTTTTTGGATTCGTTTGTATTACTTTCCGGCTATCTGTGTTGTCATTGTAGTATTTGCATGTTCATTGCAGTATAACATTGTGTATAGCATGAAGTTATCTCCATGCTACTGAAAACTATGTTCTGTTTGGGCCAGTATTGCTCTAATCCCGGCAACTATGAGCCAAATTCTAGAGGCAAGATGGCTAATGTGTAAAGGGTATTATTAAATATGTTATCAGAATCTTTATTTCAACTAGAGGAATCTGATGGACTTTTAAGCTCTTTTTCACATCTGTGAAAATGTACAATCAATTCAGCACCCACAACGCCCCAGCAATGAAGTGAATTGCCATGATTCAGAGTCGTCCTTCAAATAAAAATACAAAAGATTGGAACTACGGTGTTGCAGAATTTCTATTGGCTACAGGGCTTACACGTGAACCAACTGTGTACACACTTTAGGAAACGTGATTGATTGATTATTACTCGCATGGCTTAATGCTCGATATTGATGGGTGACTCAATGAATCGATACTGTCTTGTGATTATTATAGGATAATGCCACATCATTGATACCTGATGTGAAGCTTAAACAGCTACTTTGTCTTCAACAGATTAATAGTATCAATGCCAGGAAAACATCATTAACATGATACCAAAACAACACCTGAGTCAAAAACATATCACTGAACACCGCACTATAACTTGTATCATTAATGTGATGGCCTACTTAAAATGCAGTGCACATTCCCCAACTGACAGCTAACTGAAATAGGACTCAAAACGCGTATTTCAATAACGTATCACTTTACACTCATCGTATTGACAGTGCACGTGCCTGGCATTGAGATCCTAATCTGAACACAATTAATATTTCTACACGATGGAGGAGGAGTGGGGGGGGGGAGGGATACTTACGAGACATTTGTAACAAAAAAAGAGCTGTAAAGCTCCTCGGATTCCTCCAGTATGAATAAATATTCCGATTCTGACCTAACACGTGTGCCAATCGATGACAATAAAAATGGTCAAGTTGATCGCAGACATTCCAACACCCCTCCCCCCTTCCTCACCTACAAATCCCTCTGTACACGTGCACCTGTAGCCTGACCCCGCTTCGCCCGCCGTCCGTGGGACACAAAGCGCGCCGTTCCCGCACGGGTTTGGGCTGCAGGCTCCCACCGCCGCCGCCGTCTCGCAGTGGCCCCCGGCGTACGGCTCGCGGCAACGGCACCAGAATGCGTTTGCCGAAGCAGGAGCCTCGCAGGCGCCTCTGCTCGAGCACAGGGCCGCGTTCCCATCGAGGGGTCCGCACTCGTGACGCCGCACCCTGACGGCCAAGCGCGCGCCCGCTTCGAGGCTCCCTTCGCCAGCGTGCGCGAAGCGGTGCGTTCCCTCGGCGAGCAGGTTCGGATCGAGCCGGCGAACGCCCGAGACGGGGCCGCCGAAGAGTGCCCAGCGTCGGAGGGGTTCGCCGGAGCTCCCGTTGAAGGGGCAGGAGAATTCGGACGCGGACACGTAGGCAGGGTTCATGGTCGTGCCGTTGGGTGCGATCAGGTACAAGTTGTCTCCAAGCTGCATGTCCAGCGCGCACATCTGAGGACTATGAGAGATCACTGGAAGCAAGAGGGAGGCGTTTTCCGTCGAATCTGACTCGTTTGCATTCTGACACTTGGGAATGACATGGGAGCAAAGTCTTCCTGATGTTGTCCAGATGACGGTGATGTTTTGGGGCTCTTTGTGCCACTGTTTGACATCTTTGTCTTGGCACCCAAATTGAGCTTTTGCAAAGCTGTGCCATAGGGCGACTGTTAACAGGAAAGGAAGCCCAGAATGCAAACACATTTGCGTGCTCAGAGTGAGAAGCATATTTAATTGTGAAGTTTTTGCAATGCGAAAAATATAATGGAGAATTTGCATGAACGATGGTTAAACGGGAAACCTTTTAACATACCAGACATTGGTATCTAAAATAAAAATTGTAACTGTTGATGTTGTTTTGCTTGCTGATATTTTTTTTTACAAAAAATTCTTCCGGCAAAATAATATTTTTTTTGCGCAATAATTTCAGAGTAGGTTTAAAACAAATTCGATGACTTATCACCCTCCATAGACGAGCGGCATCTAAAAAAAGGGGACACACAATGCAGTGCATGCAACATATTGTTTTATATATTTCGTTCAGATGTGATAGAACAGCACACAGTGGCACAAAATTATCCAAATTGCGCTACTAAGCGCACACACTTTACATGCAATACGCAGCGCACCTTTGCACTTTAAGCGCTCAATCACACGCTGCATCACATTTGTCGTAATGCAAGTGCTAAAAAGCTCACGGCCATTAAAACTCGGTGGGAAAGTATACGACCTCCCACCAGCAAAGAGCACTCGTCACGTGACTTCAGTATCCTAGTAACAGCGGCGTAAAGCTGCTCGTGGGCGGATTTCTGGGTGCAATTCTACGAAGCAGACCAGGGAGGCTTTGGAAAATCATTTGCAGATACCCCCTACATGGGCAAATAAGAACTCACTCGGGAAAGAAAATAAATAAACATTTCTACAGACATCTTCCTTGCCTCGTTTCATAGCCACGGTACCGTAAAGTATTTGAATTTCGAGGCACATCTTGGAACTTTAGTGGAGGCTCGTATATATATATGATTATCGCTCTATGCAGTTATACTGAAATTAGAACACGTTATATCAATGGTAATTAACGAATATAGAACGAGGACTTTATTGTGCTTAAATTATCAGTATCAACACTCCAATGTTATACAACAATATAATAGTTTTACATATTATTATTCCTATATAATGTTATCAATAACCTGAGTAAAAACATACACGTTAAAACAACAGCAGGCATATGCAGCATATACGAACAAAGGGCTCTTTTGAATTGGTGATAATCCTCAGCATTGGCTTGGCTTTCATGCAACAGGTGCCAGTTGTAGCTTACAATAAATACACCTTGCCCAGGAGCACTGTTTTTTTTATTTAAATTCAGCTGTTTCAAACGTCTGAATATGTAACATGAGCTATATCACGTACAATTTAAGCTCCCTAAAGCCACATCTCTCTAGATGAATATGAAGTAAGATTATGTAAAAAGGCAACGAGTACTCTATTGACGTATTTGTTTAATTATAGCCAGTGCTATAAATGAAGCAACGCCATTCCAATTTGCTGAAATCACTGACTCCCAGAAAAAACAACTTTCGTGTTAATTACCCTGTCGCCATAATCCTGTGTCTCTTTGAGTTATTAACCAAACATATTACGTATCATTTTCAAGTCATCAAACAATTGTAAACTTACTTGCTTGCTTTCAAGACGTCTGCCGTTACTGATAAACGTCATGGTTTTTTTTTACATAGCATGAAAATACCAATCAATTAACACAAAAGGCAATACCCTGTGTGAGCTGACCCTGTTTTGTTTTACCGTCACAGCTGATACGTGGACATGTTGTCTATACAGCAGTGTTGTCAGATCAGCACCCCCGCTTACTGGACAGCAGCACTGCGCCTGCGCATGACGAACAAAGCCACGTTAATGAGGGTATTTGCAACGTGAGAGTGTTGTTCATATCTGTGGGGAGCGGTGGCGCAGTGGTTAGCACACCAACGTACAACCTCCGGAGGTACTGACTTCGCTTCCCGCTCACTCACGGCCAACATCAGTGACAAATATCTGAACTTGTGCTGAGCCTGCACTAGGTCTAATCAGCCTTAAATTAGTTACTGGGGAGACCAAGAAGGCCAGGTGTGGTGCTATCCACACCACTCACTTGTGTGCCACGTTGGCCTTCATAAGTGCTAGCTAACGGCACTTGCCCCAACGGTATGTTAAAGCTATAACATGATCTTTATCTTTGTAAGTATACAGCAATAGCCTCGTGATTCAAATCGGCTCGGTGGTAATACATGAAAAAGCACTTAACATCATTGGAAAGATGTGAGTTCAGACTCAGACTTTCAGCTGGTAAGGCCCATTGAGATAAGCATTTCTGTTACAAAGACGACCACAGCACAAGACTGTAAGCAATGGCAGTAGAGTTACAGGACATTGCAGGGTGGGAATATGCAAACTAACGAGAGCAAAAACTAAAATAATTTCCACCAAACACGTAAAGCTTACTCCACACAGGATACACCGTAAACAGACCTGCACATACTTACGTAAATAACCGTAAACACAGATTCAGACATAACGTAGTTTAGTTATAGGATTACCTGTGTCAGAGGTAATCCTATAGCGTGGCCTTAAACATGCGAAAGAAGTTACATGTGGAATATTAAGAATGCTTATGAGGGCATCAGAAAATGTAGGTGCTGCACAAGAGAACGCACTGGAACCAGTCTAAGTTCTCGATATAGGATCGGTCCCTGGGTAATCAGAGGTTCGTCGAAGTTTTATAGGATCTTGTAATGGATGGAGAATGTCAGTTCAATCCTGGGCGAGTTCAAATCCCTGTTGCGTCTTAGCTTGGCCATTTTTCCTTCCAGAGTCGATGGGTGGTTGTTTGACCATACTTAGCCTCCAGAACTGGTTCCACTATCACTCACCGCTAATGTTAGCCATGGCCAAAATTCAACTCAGCCTACCGGGCCCATCGTGCAGTGTGTAAAGCACTGCGCCACCACTCTGCAATACCCCCACCACCACCACCACCTTCCCAACTGAAGCAATGCGTTGTTCGCAATGGCATGCATGGCAAGCATCTCAACAACGTCTTCTCTGATTTCAAAAAACCAATGCACCATTCTGTCGTTCAAAAACAAGCATTTGTATCGCCTGCCGACTGCTCCCTTCGGAACAAATTGCACTAAACAAGAGCGTTAAGAAAATGTGATAATTGTTTTTTTACCCTTTTATCTGGCAACATCTGGTCCAACCCATGTGAGACTAGGCTCTAAGGAAAGCTGTCTCGGGTGTGGACCAATCAACTTCAAGGACAGTGCATACATTGTCAGAGTTATGTTTTTTTTGCATTATGACTGCAGGTATTGTGGTCTCTGCAAACATGACTCCTTGTAAAAAAAGGTGTCAGTTTTGTTGCCAGATAAAAGGGTAAAAAACCAATTATCAAGAGCGTTAAGGTTGCTGTTTGAAGCAGCCTCGCCGCTGATATGGTCCATATCCACGTCCGTCGAGGCTCTTAAACGCCTCAAGTCCGGTCTCAGCAGCTCGCACACACTGTGAACGATATAGCCTGACATATGTTCAGCTAATATATTTGCTGCCCTGCTTTTGGCATTAACCCCAATGGTAATTTAAACACATTGTACATCTAAACACATTGAAACACCGCGATGCGTTTGCACACGGAAGTGCATTTCCTCACTGTACAGCATCGAAGGTTCAGAACAAACACGACAGCAGGCCAATGTGTGATGAAAATGACAGGGAGTGGTCAATTATTGTAAGGGGAAGACTTTAAGCTGGCTAATATGCATGGCAAATTTCAAGCCACAGTGTAACCTTCAGAAGCCCTACCACAATATTATTTAATCTGGGATTAAAGCTGGAATGCGGCAGATGAGCAAAGGATTTGTTGCTTGATTGGCACATTGACCTCGAGATTAAAATCGTGCCGTGTACAGACTCAGAGGCAATCATATTTGCCTGAAAGGCTTTCTGCATGTAGAGCATTTTTGTTTGTTTGTTACAGAATGCACTTCAAACCCGCATACGCTACTGCATGTAAGGTGTGAACCGATAATGCCACCCACGCACGTTGACAAGTTTGCAGCATTCTTGACCAGACAAGCATGGAGAGTGGAGTGCAGTTTAAATCAATGATCGTCTCACAAGTAACCCATGATTGCAGTTGGTAGGCTCGTATCAATCTTCTAAAGTGTTTTTTCTTGTTTGTTTCTATGCAAGCAGACTCGCAGATAATGTCCCATTGTGACAGCCACCAACATTCTGCTGTCAACGATGGGATGAACGTGCCGTAAAGCATGATGTAAATGCAGACAATTCAATCATTTCCAATTAACACAAGTGTCGTGTGCTAATTCACAGACACCAGTAGGAGGTACTCTCTCTCTCTTATTCCGGTCTTCACAGCCTTAGGGGATAACCACACACCGGATCGGGACAGCCAACACTCTGCCAGACCCACAGCTTGAAGAGGGCGAAGATCACAACGACGACGGCATGACGAGTTCCACTCCAGATCGCAGCCGATACTGAAAAGCGTGGCCAGGCTCCGCCCTCGGCCCCGCAACCCTCTGGATCCCCCAGAGGGCTCCGTGCCTTGCCCACAGGTACAACTGGTAGAACGGGCTGTTACCCCTAATTCTATTGCCTACCAATCCCCCAGCGGCACGCGCTTCAGTGAAACATTTGCTGTCACTACACAAGTATGGAGTAGCAGAAGGTAAAGGTGCAGCCCTGAGATTTCTTGATCACACTACTGATGGAAAGACCTCTACTGGAGGGTCTTCTATACAGTGCCACTTGAGGGTAATTTGGCCTACTCTTTCACGTTGGTTTGACGTTATGGAAAAGGTAGGAGTACCTAGAATGCACCTCGCCACATGCAACCCGCCAATGAACTGTGGTGTAACACATGTATACATCTGGGTGGACAGAGGTGGAATTCAAGAACACTTGCCCCTCCTTGAAACTGCTGCGCTGGACGATTGAATCGGAGACCTCTGGGTTGTCCCGTGGTCTACCCATTGCGTTGGGGCAGCCACAAGTCCCAGCGGTTAGCGCTTTCGCCACTCGTTGCGGAGGAGTTCGTGGTTTGAGTCCAGCAGGCTGCCCTGGTTATTACTGCGGGCGTGTTAACCAAACAATACAGGCCGTCTTCTTCACAGTGGATGTTCAAAATCCCCTGACATGATTTCAAAAACGAGTGGCCATCGTACGATACAAATTTGACAGATTTGAATAAAATTACTCAAAAATGTCTCAATTGAGGTCACACGGAGCACCATCTCCCTCTCCTCTAAATGCACTGCGGACTCTGTAACACACAGCACCTTTGTTACTGCCTAAAGCTATACGAATGGCGCAAATACCAAATGTTCTTAATTATTATCCGTATCACAAGCGAATCCCTTGTAAAGTAGTATCAATAATACTTGAACAAGATGAAATCTGGCCCTCAAAATAACCCCTAAAATATGCTCATCACTGTCAATATTTTCAAGAATAATTTGCAAAGGAGGTTAGTGTACAAACACCAATTGCATTCATAACTGTATGCCAAAGGACTGTTTTATGCCAATGAAATGTATAAATTCCCTTTCACTGTATTGCTATCATGCATTATTAAACCACAGATCCTTGCCTGCTACATCCATGCTATGCTCTGAAAGCAAACCTACTGGGTCACAAGTTTCAAGCAAACAAAGTGATTCTGCGTTCTGGCAGAATAGCTGCACTGCGACTGGTACCCCAAGGTGATTTCTCTGTGGCCCTCATCCCAAATGGCAGCAGTCAAACGAGGACTTCTACTTCCACCCTGATGTAATTACTGGTAGGACACAGGTGAGTGAGTGCGGGCAGGTGGGGAGTGGGTTAGCGTGATATTAAATTGCTGTCAATTACGGATGCACAACTCCTCGGTGTGGGTCTACGTGAGTGGAATTTTGTCCGTATCGCATTTATTGCAAGGAAGGAGCCACGGGTACAGTGGATTCTATATGGCGAGGCACCATTCTTGCAGCAATGCTGGATTCAATAAATACACATTATCTTCCCTGCCCAGGGCAGTCACAAAGACACGTGTGTTGTTATTTTTTTCAATCAGCGGGTTGACTGTTGGCTAATGCACCTTTGACAAAGCCTTGCAAGCTGTGACCTATGTGCGGTAATGTGGTCCTTGTTTCGTGCACTTTCGCACAGCTCCCTTTCTCTCTCTGGGAACGCGTTCAGAGTTTGTGATTTACCGTTTACATTTACTGAAAGCTAGGTTGGGCACATATTTTTAATTATTATCAGCTCTGTGCACCCTCCGTTGAAAATGCAGAAATGTACCTGGAAAGTGGAATGTGGATTGTGATTTTTTTTATAATCCTTTATATTAAGTTCACTTGCTTGCTTGCGTGCTTACGACCGTGCAAATCTTTCGGTCGTTTTTTTACCCACTTCCCGTGATCCAATCGAGCTGACATTTTGCACACAGACTCGTTGTGCGTGACAATTAATTTTCGTGAAAAATATTTTTACAAAATTTTACACTTTTTAGGAATGTTTTTTTATATGTAATTACCAATTGCTTAATGGTGGCAGGCAATCATCTGACCCATAGGTGGCAGCCATCTCAAGCCAGAGGACGAGAGGACTCTAGCCGCTACGCATATAAAGGATTTATAGTGAAAAACTTTGTTTTTACGGGTTAATTTTTTACACACACTTGCAGAACACAGGGCCATGAGGCCCATAACGTCAGGCAGCCCATAACGTCAGGCAGCCCGCAACGAACGTCCATCTCATAAATGTGATAGAAAACATTTAACAAGATTCGCGGATTGAGTATGGTGAGAAGAGTTTGGGGAAAGAAAAAA